CCCCCTTCCCCCACCCCATGGCTATCCCAGGCCATCCTGGTTGCAAACAAAAGGGAGCCTAGGGAATTCCAATCATCTGGGTACAGCCCAGCCAAAAGGGAGCCTAGAGAATTCCAACTTAATTCTGGTTCAGCCACTAGGATTCTCTTCATGGACTGACATAATGCTAGATCATGAAGACAATGACCATTCGATTGAGGGCACTGCTCTCCAGCTCCCCCACAGTGGCCCACGTGTGCTGTGGCGGGCTGAACAATGGCGCCCAAAGACAGCCAGGTCCCAATCTTTAGAACCTGTGAATGTTACTGTACAGGGAAAAAGGGATTTTGCAGATCTGATTAAGTTACGGATCTTCAGATGGGGAGATTATCGTGGATTTATGATTAAGTTAAGGATCTTCAGGTGGGGAGATTATCGTGGATTTATGACTAAGTTAAGGATCTTCACATAGGGAGATTATTCTGGGTTATCCCAGTGGGCACTACATGGAATGCCAGGTATCTTTATAAGAAGGAAGCAGGGAGGGGGTTTTATTACAGAAGGCGATGTGACAAAGGGAACAGAAGGACAAAGAAAGAGATTTGAAGATGCTGCTAAAAGGCTGGACTTGAAGATGAGAAAGGTGATAAACCAGAACACATCTCCTGGTACCTGCTGGTTGTGGGCACTGGAGTGGCTCTGCGGGATCAAGACACAGGTGTCCACCTGCTTTCTGAGAGCTTACACTTTGGGTGTGGTGCAGACACATATTAAAAGAGCCAGCCAGACAAATTGTAGGGGCAGCAAGAGGGGATAAAGCAGCGTACAACAACGTGCTTGAGTGTAGGAGTGTGGAGAGGTCTGGAGAGGGCTAGGTTTGCCCGAAGCCAGTTTTGAAAGGCTGCTGGAGATGGAGGACAGAGGGAGGTTGGGAAGGGTTAGAGAGTGCTGGTAATGTTCCTAGTACTGTAGGCAATACGGTATTTGGAAGGAGGCAAAGAGGACACCAGGTGAACCACTTCAAATTAACCATTCACTTAAAAACTATTTGGGTGTGTGTGTGTCAGGTATCGTGGGATGTGGGAGCGAGCGGAGCATGCGAGGGGAACTGCCGTGAGAGCCGGTGTGGCTGAAGCATGAGGACCAAGGGGCAAAGCGGAGGACAGGGCCGGCTAGCAGGCAGGGGCCGGATCCTGCAGGGCCTTGCACGCCATGGTTAGGGGCTTGGATTTTATTCTGAGGGCAAGCACGTGATTTTTCATTCCTTCTGCAACAGCCTTAGGAACTAGGCCGTTTTATCCCAATTTTACTGACGAGGACGGTAAGGTTGGGAGGGGACAGGGTTAAGCAATTTGTTCCAGTTCACCCGCAGCTGCAGGCGACAGGCGAGACCCGGGTCTTCTAAAGTCCGCCGGCTCCGGGACCGCCCGCCGAGACCCCGCCGAGACCCCGCGCCCACTGAGCATGCGCCGCCGGCCTACGGAAGCCGGCAGGGAGGGGGCGGGGCCGAGGCTGGCGGGCGCGGGGAAAATGGCGGCGGCGGCGAACGGGACTGGAGGGAGCAGCGGGATGGAGGTGGATGCAGCAGGTAACGGGCCTCGCGGGGGCGGCTTCTGGTGACGCCCCTCGGGGAGCGACAAGGCCCCCCTGGGCTCCCGGGAGGAGTCAGCAGGCGGGACGGCAATACCGCTCCCTGGACTAACTTGCGGGAGGGATGTATGGCTCCGGCTCTGCCGTCTCCCGCTCGCAGCTCCGGGGCAGAACGTGCGGCCCCTTCTCTCACTCGCCCTCCTTTTCCTCCACCCTCAGTGGTCCCCAGCGTAATGGCCTCCGGCGTGACGGGGAGCGTCTCCGTCGCTCTTCATCCCCTCGTCATTCTCAACATTTCAGACCATTGGATTCGCATGCGCTCCCAGGAGGGGCGGCCTATGCAGGGTGCGTCTTCGGCGTAATTCTCCCACCTCCTCTCCTTGGTCACCTCCCCCAAATAGGGGTCTTTGCCCCTTCCGTTCCTGAGGCCGGCTCCCCCTCCCCCAGGTCACGGTGTCTCCAGCGTTTGGTTCACACTGACCTCGACCCTTGGGCCGTAATGATGAGGGACAAGATTCCTGACCCTCATGTTTTACATGTCGTTCTCTCCCCCCAGTGATTGGGGCTCTGATCGGGAAACAGGAGGGCCGAAATATCGAGGTGATGAACTCCTTTGAGCTGCTCTCCCACACCGTGGAGGAGAAGATTATCATTGACAAGGAGTATTACTACACCAAGGAGGAGCAGTGTGAGAGGGGAAGAGACTTGGGGCCGGGGAGAGGAGTGGGAGTAAGAAACAGGCAGAGTGGGGAAGATGGAGAGTGTTGGGAAGAAATAGGAGAACGGGACAAGGTGGGGGAATGAGGAGAGTAGTGGAAAGGATCTCAGAAAGAGAACACTTTAGGTATTTCCCCCCCCCCCCAAGACAGTAAAGGATGAGAGAAGATAGAAGGGATTAATTATTGTGAATTGAGCGAGGAGTTGAGTGGGGAGGGGAGAAGCTGATGAAAAATATACCGGGAGCTTCCAATTAAGGGAGGGTGGTTTAAAGAAATACCCTGTACTTTGGCTCTTTCCTTTGCAGTCAAACAGGTGTTCAAGGAGCTGGAGTTTCTGGGTTGGTATACCACCGGGGGGCCGCCTGACCCCTCCGACATCCACGTCCACAAGCAGGTACACGTGTGTGCTGGGGCAGAGCACGAGGGGGAGGGGGAGGGGGAGGGAGCAGGATGGGCCTTGACAATCGCATCCACCATCCCCTTTTCCAGGTGTGCGAGATCATCGAGAGCCCGCTCTTTCTTAAATTGAACCCTATGACCAAGCACACAGATGTGAGTAATACTGACCCTGGGCCTACTTTTTATCCTCCTCCCCTGCTGTCCTTTACCCCATCTCTGGTGGGTGGAATTGTCACCGGAGATGAATTCTCCCACTCAGCAGCTGTGTGACTTTGGGTTAGTCATTGAACCTCTAAACTGCTTTTCGCCTCACGTGTGAGATGGGGATTATCCTTACTTCAGTGGGTCCTTGGGAAGATTAGATGGGAAAAATCTAGCGTGGAGAAGAGCCCAGCCCAGCTTTTGGCCTCTAGTAGTTCAGTAAGAGTGGTCTCTGTTGCTTCTTTCCAGCTTCCCGTCAGTGTTTTTGAGTCTGTCATCGATATAATCAATGGAGAGGTAATGCCCTGCCCTTCAGCCCTGCCATCCTGCCCCTGGCCTTTCCTGCTTCTGACTCCGCCTTGTGCCCTGTAGGCCACGATGCTGTTTGCCGAACTGACCTACACTCTGGCCACGGAGGAAGCCGAACGCATTGGCGTCGACCACGTGGCCCGAATGACAGCCACAGGCAGCGGGGAGAACTCCACTGGTGAGGAAGGCTGGCAGGGTTTCCTTGGCCGCGGGGCTGGGAAGTCTGGCCGCGGGCGTTTTCCACCTTGGCCTGTCCCTGTCTCCCTGCAGTGGCCGAGCACCTGATCGCGCAGCACAGCGCCATTAAGATGCTGCACAGCCGGGTCAAGCTCATCTTGGAGTACGTCAAGGCCTCCGAAGCGGGTAGGAGTGTCTCCCTGGCATTCGTACCACTTTTCCTCTCCCTCCTGGGGAGTTGACAGCATCCACATTAATGCAGTCCTTTTGTGCCTTTAGGAGAGGTCCCCTTCAACCATGAGATCCTGCGGGAGGCCTATGCTCTGTGTCACTGCCTCCCAGTGCTCAGCACAGACAAGTTCAAGACAGACTTTTACGACGTGAGTATAAAACCCAGGCTGGGGAGGTGGGGCTTTTGTACGTCATGTCCGTAATGGCGGACCTGGGACAGTCCACTGTTCCCCGGGCAACTGGTCTGTTCCTTCCAGCAATGCAATGACGTGGGGCTCATGGCCTACCTTGGCACCATCACCAAAACCTGCAACACCATGAACCAGTTCGTGAACAAGTTCAACGTCCTCTACGATCGACAAGGCATTGGCAGGCGGATGCGGGGGCTCTTCTTCTGAGAGGGTACTTGAAGGGACAACGCACAGGTCGGACAATGGCCCCACAGGGGAGGGGTGTCACACTCGTTAGGGAAACCTCCTGTCAATAATAAAAGGGGAGCAGCCCCTCAGCACCCCTTCCAGTGGCTCTGTCCTCTCTCTTGGGCACCACACAGCCTTCTCAACTTGGATCTTAAAAGGAGGCCCTCGTTCCAGCCTTGCTCAGGCAGGACAGGCTGCAGTGATCAGGAGGAGCTCCCTGCCACTTGAGGTGACCCCATGTCCGGTCAGGTGGATGCATCTACACTGAGCCAGAGGCTGCTCGCTTCCACCCAAGTGAGCTCTGTTCTCTAAGGTCTCCCTACGACAGCAGTGCGGAGACCAACCCTGTACACTTGACCGATGACCGATTATCCAAGCTAAGTGAATTTTTTCCGGACACCCCAAAAGCTCTGATCCTATGGGCCCTGTTTATTGCCAAGACGAAGTTTCTCTTACTGCGAATGTTCGCTGAGTGCTTACGACAGGGAGATCGACAGCTGACCCTTGGGGCACCTCACCCCCAGCAGAGGCTCTAGTGGCCCTCCTGGGGGCCAGGTGTGAACGCGGGGACTGCTGCGTGTGGATCCCCTGTGTGAGGTGTCCCATGTCCCTGTGCCACCCTTCCACTCCCCGTCCTTACCCCTAAGTAAAGCTTTAGAGTGGGAGTTAGGGATGAGGGAAGGTCTGAGGCATTTCAAGAAGTAGAAAAGGAGACGAGTTGGCTCGGAGGCGCTGCAGGTCCTACTGGCGTGGTCTCTCCAGAGTCCGGGGGGGGGGGGGGGCGCACAGCAGGACCGAGGAGGGGACTGGAGTGGAGCTCAGTCTTGCACCTCATCTCTGCACGGTGGCACTTACTGGGGACGCAGCAAGGAGTAACAGTGCCTGGCAGGTAGAGTGGGTCCCTTACTTGGTAAATTTATGGAGTGGATGGGGTAAGACCACGAAGGAGCAAGGTAAGAATCTAGAAAATTCCTAATACCCTGTTTGTAGACTGCTTTATTCAAACACTTTATTAGCAAAAACAATAAAACAAATGCAGCTCAGGAGAAAGGAGGAGGCATCACGAGCTCTTTCAAAAAGGGGGATGGTCAGCACGTGGAACACAGAGCAGACCCCAGTGTCTCACAAGCTGGATGGAATCAGACAAAAGTGATCCGCGTCCGGGCGGTATTAACCTGCCAGACATTTAGCTCCTCGTACTCATCTAGCGCCGCCTGGAACTGGGCGGGTGTGAAGCCCCGGGATATGCAGCGCTGCTCGGCCTCCGCAAACCGCACACTTCGGCCCTCGGAGACCAGCTCCCGGATGGTGGCAAATATCACGTCCGCCGGCCTCTGGGTCCTGAAGGGGACAGTGCGGGGGGGGGGAGGGGGGAGGTCAGAGGACCCTGGGCCCGTGATAGCATCCCAAGGCCCACACCACACACGTGTGGATGCAGGAGCCATGAGGCTAAGTAGTCGGGGCCGGGACGTCGGGCCTCGCGTCAGCTCACCTCGCCGTCTGCCCCTTGTCGCCCAGCAGAGAGTCCTTGGACATCTCCATGAGCCTGATGGCTTCGTTCACATCTTCCTTCTCCACCGCGTCAACCATCCGCAGCCGCGCCTGCAGGGAAGGGAGGGAGAGATGGGCACGGGAGGAGAGGGGGAACACGTCAGCCCGCCCCCGCCCCCCCCCCAGCTCCAGCTTTCGGGAGCGCGGCCCAGAAGACGCGCGGAGAGCCCCCCGCCCGCCCAGCAGCTGCAGTGCGGGGCCGGCACTGTCAGACCGAGACAAGTGCAATGCGCGGGCAGCGTCCAGCAATTGCCCAAGTCTCCGCCTCGCAACGCTGGCCAGTCCCGGGGTTCCGCTGTCCTGTGAGGGAGACCGGACCCTTCGGAGCTCCCCTGGGCTCCCCAGCACCACAGACAGAGCAGGGGGAGCTCGGCCACGAAGGCGGCTGGCGGAGAGGTCGCGTCCCTGGGGCTCGGGAAGTGCTAGCTCAGCAGTAGGTCAGGTAATCACACTACCTGCACGAACAGCACTTTGGAGCCCCCGGGACTAAGGTCCACGGTGTGCGGGCAGAAGTGCAGGTTTCTAGCAAGGATCCAGGGCCCAGGGAGCGGAGGTGACCCCCCGCCCCGCCCCCGCGAGGCTGGAGAAGCGACAGCGGGCCTCTCCCTCCGGGGACGCCGTGCGTGCCCTACCGGAGCAGCAAGTACCCACAGTGCGGTAGCACGCAGGACCGCTATCTGCACTGTCAGCACTTTAGCACCGGCAGGGCCTGAGCGGGAGGGAGGCGGCGGCGCGC